CCATTAATAGGGTAACCCTAACGGGTTTTCCTGCCCTATTCGGCAGGATAGAGGCGAAGCCCGAACCCCAGAATGAACCAGAGAGCAGCGAGAAGGCAGACTCCACATCTCCTCCCTGATCATGGCTGACCAAGCATGACTGGCTCCTGCTCCCTCTCACCTCTACATCCACATCTCTCCCTTTACAACATCTGTCTCCTCTGCTGCTGAGCATCAGCGTCTCCTCTCAGCCCTCCCGTCCTCCTTTCTACCACAGTGAACTAAATCTTCTTGTATATTGCTCTTTTCAGACTGAGGTTGTGCAGTTCTTCAAACATTTGGTCGGCCGTCTCTCCTGCAGCCTGCCTCGAGGCCGTAAACAGCAGCTTTGATTTAAGGCGCCACATTTCTCCGTATGGTTTACAACTCAGCGACAGTAAATGTCAGGGCTGCTCTTCCTCCACAGGTCCAACGCAGAGCTAATGCAGTGTATGAAGCAGCACTTAATCTGGGTCCAGAACACAGGAGGTGGCTTTAGGAAGCCATTTGATTGGTCTGACTCACACCGCTATATCCGCTCAGCTCCAGCACCGGGACACCGGCGCTCTTCAGGGTTTCAACAGTCAACACTTTGTTTGACACATAAAAGTTAGAACATTGCCAAAAGCTGAATATGTGTCCTCATCTGTTTAAGAAAGTCAAAGTTCAGTATATTCTACACTCCGTGTGTGTCACCGGAAACGCTTCCAGCTGGTTTCTGGTTTCATTTAGACGATTAGTCAAAATAACATTTCAAGTTGCAGTAAGTTACTATCAGACTGAGCTCTCCAGAATGTAAAGCAAATGGATCCCCACTCCATCGCTCACTGGAACAAAGAGCCCCACCACCTCATGAGCAGTTTGGTCTGAAGGTCAGCTACAGCCGCTGGGTCGTGTCGTGTTGTGGTTGAAGCTGTACAGCATCATTTCACATCGTTCTTGTGTCACAGCGCCGACACTGACACATGCAAACATCAGCTGCAGCTGGCTTCGTTGCTCTGGTGCAGCTTTACTTTGAACGGCCGCATCGCAGCTTGAAACCTCACAGCGACCGCAGCAGCATGTGCTTCGTCTTTGCAGGTCTGATGGTGAAACTGAACTTCGCTTTCTGTTGCTTTCTTACATCTTAAGACTTTTCTATGACTTTTAATGGATTTTGATTGGATAGAAGAGGAAGCAGTGATCTGGGCTGTGGAACAATGAACCTCTGAAGCTCCAAACGTCGATTCTGTAAAACAGTCTCAGCTTTGACCAGCAGTCATGGGACTGTTGGCTTGATGGTTCGGGCTGCAGGCTGTCACACAGAGCAGGTACGAGACAAGTACAGGAGCAAATTAGAGCCTGAAAGCAAAATATGTTCAGTAGCAAGGAGCAAACTGTCAGCAAGTTGTTGGAAGACGGTGAAACATCCACGTGGAGCTGATGCACAGCGGCGTGAGTCTGTGGAGGTACAAATGTCTGCACAGGCTGATTCCAGGTTTTATATAACAAATAATTAAAGAAGTGCAACTTTCATTTTTGTCTTTTTATGATTTCTGGCATGTTTGTGCTGTTTCATAAAGTTGCACGACTTTACATTGAAATAAAACACGAGGCCACGTTGAGACAGAAGTCAAAACTGACAAGAAACTTCTTGGGTTCAGAAACAAAGGAAATCCAAAACGTTCATGAAGGAGATTCAGCAGAGCCGGCGAGGGGATTTGTTACCTTGGTAGAGAACCAGGTTAGCGGTCTCCTTACACAAAGCTGTGGATGCATCTGCTCATCGAACTCTTGGCAGGAAAAAGAAAATATGCATACTTCCAAAATGTCAAATGGTTCCATTAAAACTGCATCAAATATACATTTTTAAGACGGACTTTTATGTAATGTGGCCCTCTGTTGCATAAACCTAATGACGAACAGTCGTGGAGACCAGAGGACAGATTGGATCCGGCAGGACTGAAAGCACAGCGAGGAGTTTGGAGCAGGAGTGGGCGCTACTGGTCAGGAATCCATAAGGAGCAGGATTAGGAGAGCAGCCCCACACTGGGCTCCACCAGGAACCTCCGTCCCAGAACAACCTGCACACAGCAGCTGTGATCTGCCACGTCATGGTCATCCAGTCTGCTCGACCAGACTCACTCGTTAGCAGCGCTCCGCTTCCTCGCCGCTGCCTACTTTTCCTCAAAAGTGCAATTTCTCACCAAAAAAGTGGACGTTTAGTTTGTTGCATACCTGTGTACTCAGGGAAGCAGATGCTGAGTGGAGACTTCTTGATCTTCTCTGCAAACAGGTCCTTCTTGTTGAGGAAGAGGATGATGGAGGTGTCGATGAAGAACTTGTTGTTGCAGATGGAGTCGAACAGCATCAAAGACTCGTGCATGCGATTCTGCAGAGGGAGAAGGAAGGAGAGGAAGGGAAGAAGAGATGGGCATATGAGAGACAGACGGGATGGATGGTTGGGGAGAAGAAATGGTGGAAAAGATGACAAGGAGAGTAAAGAAAAGCAAAATGAATAAAAAGTGAAGAGGAAAGAAGGGAGAGGTTACAGGTTAGCAGCAGTCGAGCAGCTTTCACACAGACACTGATTCAGCTAAAGAGTGAGGCCACATGTTTCTGCAGCTCTGGCTGGGACGTGTTTTAAATGCAGCTTCTTTCTTTGTCTCACACTGAAACAGGAAACAGTCGCCGTGTCAGCTGAAAACATTTGACCTGTTCAGGAAATACTTTCCCACATTTTCAATAAATAACGAGAGTTCAGGAAAACAGAGAAACGCAGCAGGAAAGGAAAGAGGAAGAAAAACATCAACAAACTTATGAACGCCGCCGTTTAAACATTTACATTCACGTCTTATCAAACACACATGGAGAGGACACACACACACACACACACACACACACACACACACAATGACGAGTCGCGCCGAGTTACTCATGTGGTGCTTTATTATCATGGTCATGTATAAATACAACGTTCAATAAATTATCACAACAGTGAGGGAGTTACAGCAGATACGTGTTTACCTACAGAGCTCAGTAACGCACATCAAACACTCACACACACACACTCACACACACTCACACACACACACTCACACACACTCACACACACTCACACACACTCACTCACACTCACACACAGACACACACTCACTCATCAAACACACTCTGAGGGGTTTGGTAGACGTGGCTGTAGGTGACCTGTACAGTATGGGACCAGTTGGTTAGTAAACAAGTGGGTTCAGTGGACATTGGAGGGTTGAGTGCGCGGACGTTTGAATGTACCAGCGTGAGCTCTGCCTCCTCCAGTCGAGCCACGTTCGTTCGTTAGCGCCGTGTGCAGCTCTGACTCCCCGTCCAGCAGCAGATCTCCTGCACAGGCCCGGTGCTCATTACATCAGCTGGCCCGGCTGAGCGGGAGCAGAATCTCAGAAGATGACTCAAAAGCAACTCGACTTCTAAAAGTTAATGTGAAGCATGAATATTTCAGCAAATAAAACAGAAGACGGGACTGGAGCTGATGTGAGTCTGACTTTGGGGAAACTTTGGCCCTGAAGCTGTAAACGGGACTGAAGCTCAGTCGGAGGAGTTCTTCATCTGGCTGCAGCTTTGACGTTTTAACAGCTTTTTTTATGTTGCTAAGGTTGTGTCGAGGCACAAGGTGCTAAAACGTCTTTTGTACCACCACCTGCTGCCCAGGAAAGCAGCCACACAGCTGCACCTGTGCTACCTGAATGGACCACTGATTGTATTGTCCATTTAGTTAAAAAGCCCAAACCAAACAGACTCGGTTACCCACAGACCTCTCCTTCACTGCAGCCTGCGGGACTTTATTATTTATTGTCAGAGCTCAAGCAGGACATGAATTATGTTCCAGCCTCTTGTTTGTTGGGTTTTTTGTAATTCATGAGTGAAGAAGGCTGTGAAGAGCACAAACACACTCCTCCTGGTAACGACGGTCCAGTCTTCACCTTATAAACCACCAACTGCTTTACAGCTGCAGAGGGTCACGTCGAAAAGACAGGGCCTGCGTGAGGAAATCAAGAGTTTGTTTGTGAGACGGGACAGATTTTTTGATCCTGACGGCTTTTTTTTTCTTCTATGTGCTGAAAGAGTGAGAACGAAGCACAAGCAGAGCGCCTGATCGAACGGTTCTGCTCCAGCTGAACACTGGATGGAGCTTCATTGCACAGTGGGCCTGTTTTCTGGGTTTACTTCACATCATGTGTACCTTAGATCATGGTGTTTTAGAGCTTGATACGGGTTTCAGACTTGAAATGGCCTGTCCATACCAGCGTTAAGATGAAAACCAGAATTTAAGAAAAAAAGCAGTCAGTTTACGCCAAGTCACAAACCTCTTCTTGTCTGTTTGTTGACTGACCTGCACATCTGCAGCACGGACTGTTTTCCTGACCCTGACCCTGACCCTGACCCTGACCCTGACCCTGACCCTGACCCTGACCCTGACCCTGAACTGAATCCGAAGGAGCCTGAGCGGTGAAACAGTGAAACTGGTGGAGGATTGGTTAAAGCACAGCTCTGCCTCTACATTGAATGAAAGTGCTGCTACATATTGTAAATGAATTCAGGTTTCAATGCATCTGAGCGTGTTGGTGTGAAAGCAGAAGCACGACTACATCATGTTGTGTTGCCTCGGGTTCATAATGGCACGACGGAAGCTGGAAGACAAGCTCAAGCCCAACGCTGCCACTGCAAGCCCAAGGACGGACACCACTGGAGGGATCTTCTTTCATCTAAATGTGAAACGGAGCTTGCTTGCTAAATGCGGCTGGACATTTCCCCGTCACTGTGTCGACACAGGAGGGGTAGAAGCTACAGGATGTGCTCAGACTTAAAATATAAAGAAATGCTGCAGCTGTTGGGCTCTCAGGAACAAAAACCAGAACCCTAACCCCCGACCAGTTCAGGGGAGGCGTGTCTTTGTTTCACTGTAACTCCAGTGTGTCCGTGCAATGACTCCAAACAAGACTGTTCACACAACAAATGTTAAGTTAAACCCTAAGCTAAGCCTAACCTGTTAACAGTCACACTACTCATGCCGACAGATCGTTTTCTTGCCCCATCATGTGACAGAAGTCAGAGGAGGAGACGATGACCAGCTGAAGTGGCAGCGGGCCTCTGGTTTGGCCAACAACACCCACGGCTCTTTGGTTGGAAGCGCTGGTATTATTTGGCACTGGCAAGGAAGGTGTTGTGACATTTTGAAGTCCGCTGGGTGTGTTTGTGTCTTCATAGCCTGTGTGTGTGTGTGTGTGTGTGTGTGTGTGTGTGTGTGTGTGTGTGTGGAAAGGGTAGACAGGTGCCTTCGGGGTAATTAATCCACAGATACTGACTCCAACACAACACCCATGGGCAGATGTTGCCTCTTACACAACATATCCACACACACACACACACACACACACACACACACTGACCTTTCCTGTACCACCAACAGACACACATGTAGGTAACTACATACAGTCTGTAAACACACGGCGCTGATCAACAGCCAGAGGCGGCTCTCGGTGTCTAATTAGGAGATCTGGCACAGATGTGGTCGCTGCTGCTGTCATCACCTGTTTTCTTTAAAAGCACAAAACGCACTCTTGCAGTGTGAGTGGAGAAGAACAAATGCCCCCATCAGGACTAAGTGAAGAGGCTGTAGCTCTGCTAGCTGGGAGGACTCACACCAGCCACCGAGTCCACCGACCAGCAGCTCCTACGGGGTCTCTGTGAGGGGAGCAGAGAGGAGCTCATGATAGCTTTCTGCTATGCATCTCCGCACCAACTCATTCAGCAGAAACCAAGACACCCACAGTGGGAGGGCTGACACTAAGGTCCCAGAGGATGAACTCAGCAGCTCATCATCCTTCAGCGCTCACCTCTGGCTTCTGAAGGTGCAGCGGTGGACAACAGGGATATTACACTGTGCAGCCCCACACAATGGATGCAGCCCCAGGGCTCTGAACAAGAAAATCAATGCCTCCATCGAAGCATTATCTGGGAACTGTCTGATTGAGTCAGCACCGGCTCTGGCGGGTCTTTGTTGTAAGTGATTCTTATAGTGGAGCCACGCTTGGTGCAACACGAGCCTGGAACCAGAGACGGACCTGCAGGGACCATCACAGCAGCTTCTTTCTAGCACAAACTGCAACTTGCTCATTATGAATTAAACCTGCAGCAGGCAGAACTCTTCCCTCTGTGGCCTGAGCTCCTTCCACTACACCAGCACGGGTGTATGCACGTGCTCCGAGTGCGCAGCGCCAGTCCAGATAAAAGTCAACATTCACCCCTGGCATCACACGGGACTCAGAGCCCACCGCTGGCTAACCGATCCTCCTCCCACCACGGGATGAGCCCTGTGATTGGCTGAAGTCTCCAGTCAGGGGCTGGAGGAGGTCCAGACGCTTACTTTCCTCCCACTTGAATAACAATATGAAGCCCAGACAACACTGGCTACCACAGCTTTAATACGATCTATGAATCTATTGTACAGGGATAAACCGGAAATGAGACGGTTTACACCCAAATGAAACACTTCAAGGCCCAATGACATGATGGCCTGAAGATGACAGCACCAGACACAGAAATGCTTTTGTGGTTTAGTTGTTTCCTTCAGACTTTATGGAATTACGTCATATAGCAGTTTGAGTTTTTACAAAAATGAGGCCATCCCAGTCATTATTCAGCACAACTGTCGGCCACTGTGTTTTTTAATAACAAAGCTGTGAGTGGCCGAAGTCAGAACCGTTTACATTAGAATCCAAAGCGATCAGAACTGCACCTTTACATCAGTGGGACTGCCTGGTTGGTTATAACGCTGTGAGCGAGGATCTCTGCGCTCCCACAGGTCTGAATGAGCACTGAAGCTGATTCCAGGCCGGAGGAGACAAACGGACACGGTGCTGGAAACCGCTTCCACCTGCTGAGTTTCAGCCAAACGAGGTGTCATGTTGTTGAAAGCAGAGCTTCAAAAGAGCTAATATTGAATGAATAAAGCATTACAGAAACACATGAAAGGAATAAAACATGAAATGGAAAGTTCACGTTTCACTAAGGATCTCCAGAGATGCACTTCTTCTCAGTCCAGCTTCAAGGCAGCAGGAGCCACACCTCCAAAGGCAGACTTCCTCTACTGTCACGTTCCTTCAACAGGTGTCCGAAGATGTGACACTATTTCCTCACTATTTAGTTAATTACTTCAGCCTCTCAGCAGGCTAACAAAACTGAAATTAAGTAAGTATTATTAATGATAACCCCAACAAAAGCGTTATGGTGAAAATATTGTAAATCTCATTATAATGGACAGAGTTTTATTTGATTAACATCAGAATGAGTTGTCCTCCTCTTTCTGTATTTATTCATGTGATGCCTTTAATTTATGCATCTGTGTGTTTATGCTCAGTCATTTTGAAGTTCTGCGTTTTAAAGACCACGGCCGAGTGCAACGGTCGGACGCTCCGCAGCGCAACACATCACACCTGTCACCTGTCACCAGTAAACAACAGCAAAGAGAACTAATGACACAAACAAAACGGCGATGGAGAGGCAAAAGCTGTCCTGCAGAAAGACAGAAGGGACTCTGCAGGATTCAGAACAGGGATGTTGTGTTTACAGCTTCATCACCAGGCCGCCTGGGCGCCGTGATGTGTAGCTGTTCTTTGAATTTCTTCGTGGTAGGCTGAGCCTAATGTTGTTTAAACAGTCCATCCCGACTTCAACTGGGACAACCGGACTTGACTGACGACATATTTATGCGTGTTTCACATCCTTTGCTCAAGCGACTGGGGACTAAATCTAAGGCACGGAGGAGTGAAAAATCACATTTTAGTCAAAATAATAAGAAGCACGTTGGGGTGGAGAGTGATTCCTGCTATATTATGCTGCTGGACCAAGAAGTTTTACCACTGCATGTCTGAATAAGTCTCAGGAACGTTGCATTCCTGGAGAGCCGACTGAAGGTGTCAGCACACCAGAGGTACTGGAAGGTGGTTCTCCTTTAGGAAGTGAGGAATTAAAAAAAGAAAACGCGAGAAATCTCAACCAACCAACCAACCAACCAACCAACCAACCAATCAATCAATCAATCAATCACTCAATCAATCAATCAATCAATCAATCAATCAATCAATCAATCAATCAATCAACCAACCAATCAATCAATCAATCAATCAATCAATCAATCAATCAATCAACCAATCAACCAACCAACCAACCAACCAATGGAGGAAGTAATTCAAGCTGGACTAGAGGGCAGCCGGGTGGTAGATCGGTATTATGGCCGCATCTGACTGGCTGGCACATGATGACATCACTCACAGGTGTGGTACATACAGGTACCACAAATACCTCCACCACCCATCGGCTAAGCTTTAGAAGAATCATCAGTACAGGCCACAGCCCCGCAGATTGTTGGCTATGATGACATCGGTGACGGCGTCGAACACAAACTGGATGTTGTTGGTGTCGGTGGCGCAGGTCACGTGGGAGTAGACCTCTTTGTTGGGCGACTTGTTCTTGCTCTCATACTGAGCCTTAATGTAGGCGATTCCCTCGAGGTACGTATCAGGACCTGAAGACAGACAAACAGAGAGAGGTGATGTATGGTGGAGGTCGGACCAGGCTTACAGAGTCGTGATCTGCCCTCCTCTTCCTGCATCAGCACTATTTTCTGATATTTTCTAAAAAACACAACCTTTGACTTTCCAGCTCAGCACACGTTCTGCTGAGGTGTACGCGGAGCTGCGCTTCACTGCGAGCTCAGCTGTAATAAAAGTGATACATGGACGACTGTGTCAGGCTGAATGGGAAGGTGATGCTGGACAGATAAATGGAATGTGATGGAAAATAATAGTCGTGTTATTGTTGGCGCCGCCTGCCAGCGTCTGAATACGACTCGTACATCCTCAGCCGACGGGTAGGACGAAGCCAAAGAATGGATGGAGGGATGATTTATACTGCGTATCGATCAGCCTAACAACCTGTCAGCGTCCCTTCTACCTGTTAAATGTTAGCTCCGCCTCTACGCGAGCACCTGGCAAACGGTGCCGGCTCTAATTTGCTCTAAGGCTCTTGGAATGAGTCGGATCTCAGCGATTGCAGTCATTTTGGTTTCCCAGTGTCGCTAACATCTCTCTGGATGTCGGCCACTAGCAGCACTGAGGTCTTTCTGTCTGTTTCGTCAGAACCGGCTGAAGAGGGGACCAGAAGAGGGCAGGGACAGGTCTGGAATTCTAATGCTCGCTTTCTCACAGTCTTGCTGTTTGGGTCTCGCTCCATCTTGGTTTCCCACAGTCTGGCTTTGTCTGAGTTTCTCACACTCTGGCTGGCTGTTGTTGCCCCTGTGTTGTCTCGTCTCTCGTCTTCTCTTGTCTCTCTCACACTTGAGCTCCTCTTGTTTGGACTCCCAGTAACACTTTGGATTTCATTCACTGCTTCGCTCCCTTTTACTTTCTTTGTCTCTCATCTTTGTTTTGTTCCAGAGACTGAGCTTATCTCTGCTCTGCCTCTTAATCCTCCATTTCCTATTTTGTCTGTTTGGCCTCCGTTGCATTCATCACACACTCTTCTGTAGGCAGCGTGACTTCCATCAGAGCCACAGGAACATGAACATGGGGCCTTATCTATCTCACACAGAGCACTTTTTCTGTGGTTTTTCTTAAAACCTATTCGCAAATGCAACTTAAATACGGAGATAATGGTTTTGCTCACATGAACGGTGGCGTTGAGTCAGTGTTGTGTTTGGCAAAATGTCTGCATAGTGAAATTCAAGGTACTCCAGCTTGCAGATAAGGATTTCTTTTATTCCAAAAGTGGTGTGGATGATATCTGGCTACATTAGCTGTCTTAAATTATGACTAATTATGTACGCTGAACAGGTTTTCTGCATGTGCATCTGCAGTTTCCAGAAGTGTCACATCTATGAGAGGAATTATAATAATAGCTATGAGGTGAAGAGAAGGAGCAGCCTGAGCTCTCTGTTGTGGTCCATCCGTCCCTACCTGTCTGATCACAGCTGTCTGCACATATCAGTCTATCAGTCTCATTTCAACAAAGACACGCAGCTGGAAGCAGGAAGTGGTCTGCAGACTTTTCTGCTGATTATTTCTGTGGGTGTCAGCGCTCCACTTAATCGTAGCATCTGGCACCGACAGTCTAAAGCTGGAAAACATGTGCTGAAACTGTGACTCATCCCCAGTTTAAAAAAAAAAAAAAAGGAACAATGGGTCATATCACCCAGAGCAAATCTAACAAAACATACAGAAGGTGCAGCGACTATAGCTGGATTTACAGGTAATGTACAGTCGTCATCGCTGGAACGGGAACTTACAGCTCGAAGCTTTTGCACGGTTACATGCTGACGGAGGCTGTGAGGAGATCAGATGGAGCCACATTAGGAGAGACATGTAGCCGGGACATGATGTCTCTCAAACAGGAGCCTGCAGCACAGTTGTCAAGCAGGAACACTTTGACAACACTCTTAGAACTTTTGATGCTGCAGTCATTTGAATGTGTTTTGCATCTGTAACACGAACTGCCCCAGGCAGTGGAGCACGGGGACTTAACCAGTGTGTTATATATACATCATGATCAGGAGTTAGACTTGTCAGAGTTTAAAGTTTTTAAAATTAGGACTAATTGTCTTTTCCACAATGTTCTGTAATAGGGCCTCTTAGTGTGTATAAATACACAAGACACAGACAGGCATCACTAATGGATCATCTGCTGTTAATAACTTAATCAATTAAGAATATGAAGAGTTGATTTGCAGAAACAGATCCCTCCATCTGCACAAACCTTCATAAACCCACTGTTCCATCTTGTGCCTGAGACAACAGCAATAATCTTCAGTTGTCTCTGTTGTTGTCATTTCTGCTCAGCTTCAGTCTGACTGGTTTCATCTCAAGCAAACAACAAACTAATAGGTTTTCTGAAAATCTACAAAACTGGAGTGATCTGTTTTTGTAGATGAACTCTTTAACATATTGACCAATAAAGCTGAAAATGGAGGACATGCATTAGGATGCAATGTTTTGCAGATACGCTATTGTACCGGCGTGCGCCACCAGGTGGAGCCTCCTACTGTTTCAGGAGGTGGAGTTACTGGTGTTTTCTGGCCGCACATAAGGGTTACATAAAATGAGTGCCCCTCTCTACTGAGAGGGGCACTCATTGGATGAACATCAAGTTGTGAAAAAGGTTTTCTGCTAACTAGCTAGCTGCTTCAGGTTCATGTGAATGCTAAGCTAGGATTTTAAAAAGCTAACACAGACTGGTAGCTTTAAACTAAAGTGACAAAGCTTAACGGTGCAACAGACTTCCTCTAAAGCTGCTGCAGTATCGGTGGACATCGGCTACGAGGATTTCTTTGATGTGAAACTGCTGTGAGGGGTTCAGGAGCTTCACAGGTTGTTTCCTGGAGAAGAACGCAGCGAGTGGTGTGGTGAACACCATGAATGCCGTCAGGCCAAACTATAGGAGCAACGTGTCACCGTTCAGCATAACTCCAGTCGCCAGGTGTTTAAGTACCGCACCGGCCCGCTGATGTGACTGAGCCGAGCAGAACACACGTGTCAGCGTGTGGAAAGCCATCCACTGTGTTTCACTCATTTCAATGATTAATCAGCTGTAGAATGACTTCAGGAATGTGCAGAGGAAGTATTTACCAGTGTACTCCGGGAAGCAGATGGACAGCGGCGACTTGCTGATTTTGCTTTCAAACAGGTCCTTCTTGTTCAGGAAGAGGATGATGGAGGTGTCCTTGAACCACTTGTTGTTACAGATGGAGTCAAAGAGCTTCAGAGACTCGTGCATGCGGTTCTGCAGGTGGAAGATCAGCATGGGTTAAATGTGCTCACATACAAACTGCAGATTCAGACTCATATTGAAATACGTGCTCAAAAATGAATCATCCAGACGAGCACACGGCATTCATGGTTCAGACGACACACAAGAACACACGAACCACACACAGACGATCGAATCACAGAGAGGAACTGCGATGAAAATAAAAACACAAAAGCAGAAGAGAAGTAGCGGCAAGTTCCTCTTGTCTACGGACACAGCGCTTTTATGTTCTTCTGCTGTGTGTGTGTCTCCTCGTATCAGGAGTTATCAGGAAGAGGCTTGCTGCCAGTGAGCTAAACAAAGCCGCGCACGTTCAGCTCGTTAGCTGTGAGCTGCTGTTTGCTCAAACTGTAATTAATCACTTAAAGGTACCCTGTGGAGCTTCCTGACCTCTAGGGGCGCTGCAGGGCTAAGCTCTGGCAGCGTGTGCTTGAGGACACACCTGAAAGTAGCGCCGTGACAGCGAAGGAGGAGGAGGAGGCTGATGTTCAGTTAATTATGTTGACTGAGGTGGGAAACGTAGCTACAAGGACTGACAGGGAACGCTCCACAGGGTCAACAAACTAAAGGCTGCGTCCACCTCAAATCAGTGCATTCATATCCATGAAGCTATCAGTAAAGCTCATATGTATATAAAATGATATAAGCCTAACCCTGCTCTGTTTGTCTCACATGGAGCTCTGAGGCTTTGTTTGAACGACAGCATCTCAGGAACTATGACAGATAAAAGCTTTACGTTGTCAGTTATTGATTTATTTATAAATGATCTCTGAGTGTGGGTGAGCTGAAATATGAATATTAGATATTGATACCAATGATTACAATATTGAACCATATGTAGGTAAATATCATAATATTACAAAACATATAGAATTCTTATACATCTTTTTAAATTTTCATGTAGCTTTTGTCAGTGATCGAGCAGTTCTGACTGCTGCACCACAAAAACTCAAAGGCTGCCAGACGGTTTCATCCAACTTTGGGGTTTTTTGGTTGTTGTGTAAAGCGTCTTTGAGTTCCTTAAAAAGCGCTTCATAAAGCGTATGTATTGGTATTATCATTATTATAATAAGTACAGCAGAGTTCTGGAGTCTCAAATGACTTCTGTCCTTATCGTTAACTGTTCCAGAGATAGTCATCCAAACATAGGCTCACATTCCAATCTGATGTCTAAAATTCACAGAGATCATGTTAAACATCCGCAGCGTGTGATGAGAAAACACATAAAGCAAATCAGATGGTGGAGCAGGAGGGCCCTGATGATCTGAGATGGACCAGCCCTGCCACAGAAGTTTACTGTCGAGTAGACGAACATCTAAAATGGTTAAAAAAAAAAATAATTTATGGCTGAAAAATTACGATTAAGATACAAAATAATAGTTAAAAAATGCACTTCAGTGTTTGATGTTTTTCATCATCAGGCACTAACAGATAATGTTCATGTTCATCCAACTAAATGCATCATGAGCGACTGATTCTCCACGGTTCTGGTTCTCCACGGTTCTGGTGACCGCTGAGATCAGAGGAGGGTCAAAGTTTTATGTAAAAACCGAAGCCCTGGGATGCCCGGTCACAGTTCAAGTAAAGTGCCTGATGAAGAAACCTGATTCAGATCGTTTTAAGGGATGAGTTGAAAGCAGTTTCTCTTTGGTTATGATCCTGTACTGGCCGTTCAGGACTGAGGGAGGAAGGCGACTGATCGGCCAATCAGACTGATCAGTGGGAGCAGAGCTGCAGCAGACGACTTCAGGCGAAGCAGCCTCACATGCAAAGAAATGCAAGAAGAGGAGCTTTAAAGGTCCCACATGGCGGAAAGAAGCTCTTATATTGTACGGTTGGTGTAAACTTGGAGGTGCAAAAATAAAAGTTAAAAGGAGTGAATAGGAAGTAAAGTTCTAAGTAACCAGTAGTCGCACTGCTCCAATGCAGAGCAAGTCTTCTTCCTGAAGGAAGCATTTAGACCAGGTGTTAAACTGTCAGGGTAAAGCCAACCGTCTTGTTTTACTGAGAGACACTCTGTGAGGACATCTGAGGCTTTGATAAATTTGCTGAAAATGGGCTCAACATGGGACCTTTAAAGGTCAGCAGTAGTTTAAGGTTCAGGCTGAGCTGGTCGACAGCCGCTTCCTGAGTCTCAACACAAAGAGGCTCTGCTTTCAACTCGTTTCAACCTATCGGACGTTTCGTACCTGTCTGTGGGTGGAGCGTCTGCAGAAGATCTGACTGCTGATTGGTTAGAGAGGACAGTCGATGGCGACAGTGACAGGAGGAGTGGAAGGAGCCAGAGATGCTGCAGGGCGGAGCTTAGAGCAGGAACAGGAAATGCAAGGGGACCCGCCCACCCGCGTCCCACTTCAAGTGTGCGATACCCACCATCTCCCCAACACACACACACACACACACACACACACACACCCCTAGTGCTGGAAAGAGAGTGTCTAGAGGCAGGAAGACACGTGTTCGCCCACAGCCGTTGTCATCAGAGTGAAGAGTCGTGTGTGTTCGTCTGCATCAGAGTGTGTTTTGACAGAAACAAGACAAGGAGAAGCCTCAGAAACACACAATGCAAGCAGTTCCTGAACAGAGAAGGGACTACAAAGCACAAGCGACCCGTGTGCGGCTGGATGCGTCCACTCAGCTCGTGGATACTTCTGTGGACATAAACGGTCAGAACCGTCTCTTACATGAAGACAACAAAACCCACTAATACATGACAGTTGGTGCCGATACCTCATGAACCTGGTGAGAGCACTCATGAAACGACAAATGGCAGCACGGCCACGAGGCTTGAACAGAAGAGTTTCATATATGTTCCTCAGAGACAGAGCTGGTTGTGACGGTGGACTGTGTCCATGCTGTCCGCTCTGTTGGACTTCAGTCACACCATCAGCACCACGTCTAGCTGCTGGTAGCTTCATCATCACTGAACGGGCAGCTTCAGCAGAACCTGGTGTCAGTGTGACCACCTCAGTGATGATACACGTATGTAGTCTATTGACTGACTTGGTTGGTCTCACGTTGAGCTGCCTCCCAGTGTCCTTGTTGCTACATACTGTTGTGAATAAATGGAAACGTGACAGAATGAATGCCCCGACCCTAACCCTCTATGACCCCCAACCCTCCATGACCCCCAACCCTCCATGACCCCCAACCCTATCCCCTAGCCCTCCACCTAAACCTAACCCTCTATAGCCCTCTATA